AAGTCTTTCTGGGCCTCAATTCTCTCTCTCATCTGTAAAATGAAGATAATAATACCTACCTCATAGGGTAGGAAGTCAATCAGTAAAGCACTTAGGAGAGTGCCTGATCAACAGGAAGCGCTGTATGAATTTTAACTAGCATCGAAGTCACCAGTACTACTATCATTTGACGAAGCATCCTCAGCCTGGAAGGGAGCTCATGGAGGTGCATGTTCAGCCTCCGCCGCTAGGGGGCAGCAGCGAGTTCCGAAGGAGCTCTACTCAAGCACCCTCAGCTCGGGTCCACACCACGGCCACGTGCGCACCAGGACGGGCACCGCACCGTGTACTTTGCATCACTGAGCGTGCTGTCCTCCCTGCCAGGATCGGATCACCTTTCTTTCCATCACCGCAGGCTCTGGGAGGCGGGGCTGAGGGGCCTCTGGAGCCACTCCCCCGCGGTTGCTAGGATGTTGTTGAACAAGGGGGTGGAAATGAGGTGAGGGTGGGAGGCAAAGAAGAAACACTGAAGCTCAAAAAGCCGCCTTTTCGGTGGTTCTCAGATGGGCCAGGCATGGTGAGTGGTTCCATCTCTGCTGAAGTCTAAAGATGCCACCTGCTACACTTAACACTTCCTTTATTTAAAAATTTTCAAATATTTAGAAAATACATAACCATGGCAAAGAAAAATTCAAACTGTGCATGTTGTTAGATCCCACTGAGTCAATTTCAAGTCATGGCAACCCCATGTGTGCAGGGCAGAGGGGCTCCATAGTTTTCAAGGCTGTGATGGTTCAAAAGCAGATTGCCAGGCCCGTATTTCAAGGTGCTGCCTCTGGGGGCGGTTTGAACTGCCAAACAATTTTGGGCAAATAATCGAGTGCTTTGTGCCACCCAGTGAGCGCTTTAACCACTGCGCCATAAGGCGCTTCCTTATGATACACAGGTCCCTGGGGTAGCACAAACAGTAGTCTCTCTCCCTGTATATATGTTTATGAAAGGAGCCCTGCTGTTACCCAAAAAATGCCCGGGTCAAGCCCTGGAGCGGTGTAGCCAGTCATCAGTCCACACCAGAGTTCAAGGAGAAGAGAGTTTAACCAGGACGTGCACCAGCAGTTGGTGGAGGGTCTCAGTGGCACCAAAAAACACCCGCTTTGCTCAACGCTTACAATCGGGTTCTTATACTAAAGGAAAAAGAGACACAGCCCGTATGTAGGATTAATGAACAATGTTCTAAAAGTTAGACAGGACAACGGGTAATTAAGAAAGGAATGTCTCCGGTGAGTCCCCAGAAGTCAGGAAATCCTGAAGAGGCTCCATGGTTGTTTGTCAAAGCCCAGGAGGTAAGTCCTAAAGTCAGGCTCAGAAGCCTTAATTGACATAGATGGCTCTGTCTTAGATCACAGGCTGCAGATGGATCCGACTCATAGCGACCCCTCCTTGGGTTTCCCAGGCGGTATCTCTACGGAAGTAGATTGCCCAACCTTCCTTCTGATGAGTGGCTGGTGGGTTTGAACCGCCTGCCTTCTGGTTAGCAGTCAAATGCCTTAGGCACTATGCCTAAGGTTTTAAATACATGTATATATAAACCAAAACCAAGCTCACTGTCCTTGAGCCAATTCCGACTCATAGCGACCCTCGTTGGGTTTCTGGGGTGGTAAATATTTACGGAAGCAACATTTATTATCGATTTTGATCATAGAGCGATAGGTGATCAATACAGTTGTAAATTGTTTAAATGTAATATTTCTTAGATTACATGAATGGGAACAGCAGAACTGTCTTGTAAAATCTACACTGAATTACATTATTGGTAACTAAACTGAAATTTTTTTGATTTTTCTCTTTTTCCTTTAATTAAGGAGATCTGGTGGTGCAGTGGTTAAGGCATTTGGCTGCTAACCAGAAGGTTGGTGGTTCGAACCCACCAGCTGCTCCATGGCAGAAAGATGAGGCAGTCTGCTTCCCTAAAGATTTACAGCCTTGGAAATCCAATGGGGGGGGGCGCCATGAGTTGGAATCAAGTCGATAGTTTTCCCTTTAATTACTACTTCATTCTCAAAAAAAGTTATTGATAGAAGTTCACAAACACTATTTACCACAGTATTGTAGCTAAAACACCAGAAATTTTGACAAAATCAATGACTATAAAAACACCGGCAGCAGAGAAAACAGTAGTGCAGTGTGCGCTGACAGCATATGCAAACAAAGCCACATGATTCAAAGTTATCATTGTAACTGGGTAATAATGACAGCTCTGACTAGACTGCACTAAAAGCTTCAAATAATAAATTACCATAGAGTTTTAGCCTTATAAATATATTGATACATGTAAGCTGGGATTACAGAAAGTGTCTTTATTGTTGTAATAATGAAATCGAAACCCATTCGGAGTCACTGTCCAATTTCCTCCCCTGGCACAACTCTGGTGGCGTAGTGCCTAAGGCATTTGACTGCTAACCAGAAGGCTAGCAGTTCAAACCCACCAGCCACTCCTCGGAAAGAAGAATGAGCAATCTATTTCCATAGAGATACTGCCTCGGAAACTCAAGAGGGGTCACTAAGAGTCGCAATCAACTCCAAAGCGGTGTTTTTTTTTTTTCTTTTTGGCACAGCAAAATCCCCCATCAGTGTTTGTTGCAGGCTGACTGAATAATAACATTATTAACATTAACATGGTGTTTATTGCACACCTGACATTGTCCTAGGTGCTTTATATAAATTCGTGTAATCCACACAGCAACCTCCAGGTTGATATATCTTCGTTTTACCTATATAGAAATTAAAGCATCAGTTAATTAACTTGTTGCCATGCAGTGCGTGGATCACTTTTATGGCCTTTCTTGCCAGGGTCTTGTAACTCCCACCAAATGACTGGATGGAACTATGCCAATAGGGTGCTTGTGGCCCACCAAGGGGATTGGATAGCTTGTGGGGGTGGGATGATGGAAATAAGGTGTATGGAATCCTATCACGGGGATTGGGCAGTGTTGCCATCTTTCCAGGCTTAAAATGAGCCACCCTAGAGGGAGAAAGGGGGGACCTCAATACCATCAAGACAGAAAAGCTACGGGTGGAACACAGGATCTCTGCACCGAGAACAAAGATGGCAGGAGGTGGTGAGAAGCAACGGCGGAGAAACGGCAGCAGCAGAGGCAGCGGGACCGGGAGACGGACAGGAGACGGCAGGGTGGGCTTCTCTGCCCACAGAGCGACAGAGCTGAGTGCCCTGGGCAGAGGCTTACTGGAAGAGTGGGGTGCCCCAGGAATTATTGTTGCAGCTAAAGAACTTGGTAGCACCAACTGGAGCAGGGCAGAGGCCTGTCCGGGGCCGAGGGGCCAGAGGCATAGCGAGGGTCACAAGTGCCCGGGGTAATCTCTAAGTCTGTGCTTCCGACAGTGTGTGATTGATTACCTGGCTAGCCGTCTCTGGAGCGCCTTTGGACTTGTGCCAAGTGCTGTCGACAAATGCTCCTCTCTGCCCAGGATGGCTGAAGAGAGGCTGTCCTGATGGAAAAACTGTACCCTGAGTCGTTTCTGAGCCTCATTTGTAACCTAATAAACCTCATAACTGTGAGTGTGGTCTGTGAGTTCTGTGTGGCCACTGCAAGGAATTGATGAATCCAGCAGAGAGGGCTGGAAGGGACGTTTGGTGTCAGAATTGGTAAAAAGGTTGGAAGGTGGAGATAAGCTGGACCTCCACCTTTTGGCAGTCAGCTTTGGGCTGTTGATAAGTTCTCCCACCCCCCTGTAAAGTCAGGAAGTGTGACCCACACTACCAAGCCATTTTTACACCCAGGTACTAAGTGACCAAGAGCTCCTCTAGCATAGTGCCCAAGGCATTTGACTCCTAACCAGAAGGTTGGTGGTTCAA